GCTCTTCCGATCTCCCCAAAACCCCAAAACCCCTTAAGATAAAAATTATGGATAGTTTATGAAATTAAGTTTAATATTGATTCACTTAGCTAGAAAGCTTCATCCTTCTGATTTAGGACATCTTCCTTGGACTGACCACAAAAGTACTTGATACTAATTAGTAATTTATCTATACCCCTTCCAATTATCAGGGAAAGACCATGCTTGGTTGGCACTAAGGTCAGTTGCTGTAATTCCAAAAAGGCAATCAGAGTTAAATGCAGTATTAACAAGACTAGTCTTGTCTGTTGCCTATTAGATTAAAGAGAGCCAATTCTTATTGATAATATCCATATTACCTGCAGATGTTGAGTCAACAGCTGCAACAAATATGTTGTAGGTCTAGTTAACATTATAAAGATAAAAGCAGTCTTAGCACTTAGAACTTTGAATTCCCGCTTAATTGGAATATGCTTATATAAACCATTTCTTCTAGTTGAAGAATAGATTAAGGGAGAGACTCGCATTACTAACAATGTCTTAGAGATTTTGTGATTAGTAGTCATCTCTCTTTATATCATTGACAAGCATAAGCTAAGCATTCATCATAGTTTCACTCAGAGCTTGTTCGTAGTATGATCTAATTCTCTTCACAGCTTGCACTATTTGAAGTTGGAATCTATCTTAAATTTTCAACCATTAATTTGGGTCATTGCTTTCAATGATATTACTTGCAGCACTCATTCCAATTCCTAATGTTGCTATATATAAGGTGTGGGCTGTCACAAGCATTTGGTAATTTTTCCAACCCCTAATTGATTCTGTTGGGTCTTTGTCATAAAACATTTTGGGGATATCACAAGATTGCAATTGTATATCACCGTTGAGCATTCTTAAAAGCACTTCAGTAGCTGAAATACAGGTTATCATACCATTACTTTAACAAGCCTACCTGAAAGTATCTTTCAGAGCAGGCAAATACCCGATGGTTTGATACTCAATGATATTATTGAGTGCATCGTGAGCTTCTTTGAGAACTTAATAAGCTTCCGTATAGAGATTTGCACAGTCTCTGTTTCCAGTATTGGTTACTATACCTTGGTAGATTCCAAACTAAAAGTTTTTAAATTCTTGAATTCTAGCTTAATTAGCAGTTACATAATCCCCTGTAAATGATAGATCACTGTCCTAGTCTTACATTGCATAAGCATAGCCTTGAGTGGCGATAAATGGTAAAGTAGTCAGCATAGATGCAGTTTGAGCGTAAATTAGATCAGAATTGTCTTTAAGAAAATTGTGATTTAATGTGTTTTAGAAGTTGCTGATTCCAAATAGAGCGATCAAGCTTTGAGAGACTATATCTGAACAATCAACTTGAGCTATAACTGCAAATGATGCGAAAGCCAAAATGAACCGAGATATCCTCATTATATATTATATAATATTTATTATCTTTAAAATTACTTGAATTTAGATTGATGGGGTTTTGGGGTTTTGGGG